GAGAGAAAAGAATTCTAGAAATGAACCATTGGCAAAAGGATTGGCCAAAAAATTTTGGATTCCTGGACCATGGTCTGTATTATCTCCATGATGGGCTTCTGGCAAGGGATGGGCTGCACCTCACAAAGACTGGGAAGAATGATTTTGGAAAATGACTGGCTTAACTTATCAGGAAGGCTTTAAACAAAAACTGAGGGGGGAGGGTGACCAATCTTTAGGATCTCCAGGACCTAGTTTCAAGCAAAAAAAAAAAAAAAACCTAGAAAGCAAGCCAAATAATGAACTAAGGAGGGATGGGAAGGAAGACAAACTCAAATACCAAATAGGAGACATAGGTAGCATACCCAGAGTCAGACATAAAGATCTCAAATGCCTATATACAAATGCACAATGTCTGGGGACAAAACAGGTGAACTTGAACTGTTAATACATGAAGGTAGATATGATATAGTTGGAATAACTGAAACCTTTTGGGATGAAACCCATGCCTGGAACATACTGATAGAAAGATATAAACTGTTCAAAAAACCCAGACCCCTTAAAAGAGGATGTGGAGCTCCACTGAATGTAAAAGACCACTATATTTTTACAGAATTGCATGAAACCAAAGATGAAAACCTCCTAGAATTCATATGGGCCAATATAAAAGAAAAAAAGAACAACATGGTCATAGGTGTATACTATAGGCCACCCAATCAAGCAGAAAAAATATATGTTCTTTTTGCTAACCAACTAACAAATATATGTAGGAAACACACTACAATAGTAATGGGGGACTACAATTATTCTGATATCAACTGGAAGACTAATTCTGCACCAAGTGAGAAATCAAATATGTTCCTAATAAACTTAGCTGACAATTTTGCTGTCCAAAAGGTAGAGGAGGGAACTGGAGGGACAGCCATACTGGACTTAATTCTTACAAACAGAGGAAAAAGTGATACAGGGAGTTGAAACTGCAGGAACCTTGGGTGAGAGTGACCATGTCATACTAGAATTCAACATAACACAAACACAAATAGAACATAATGGTACCAGTGTCTTAGATTTTAAAAGAGCTGATTTTAATAAACTCTGAGAGAACTTGGGAAAGATTCCATGGATGAAAATCCTAATGGAGAAACAACTCAAGAATCTTGGGAAACTCTGAAAAATATGATTATAAAAGCCCAGACCAGCACAATAGCACTGAGAAAGAAAAACAAGAAATCCAAGAAGAAATCAGCATGGCTGCACAAAGATCTCTCTGCCAAATTGAAAGACAAAAAGAACAAGTACAAAAAGGGAAAGAGGGACATAGAACTAAGGCAGAATATCAGCAGAATCTACAATGTCAAAGTCAGGAAAGCAAAGGCTCAGAATGAACACAGGCTTGCAACAGAAGTCAAAGATAATTTAAAAAGTTTCTTCTAATATATAAATAACAAGAAAGAAATCAAGGAAACAGTCGGTCCACTAAAGAGAGAAGACGGCAAGGAAGTAACAGACAACAGAGAGAAAGCAGAGCTTCTTAACTCATTCTTTGAAGTGATGCTAAATGGACTTTTTTATTTTATTTGGTTTGTCAATTGCTTACAAGATAATAGGTATAAGTAAAAACATAGTTATGAATACATGGATACATATAAGAAAAATAAAAGAAACAATAGGACAGGGATGATAGGCACCTTGGTGCGCTTGTGCACGCTGTTAGTGTTTGGGGACAAACCCCCAAAAACAGAATGTGCAGCAGCA